CTCTCTCTCTCTCTAATTAATTGTTTACATTGTTTCTCAGGCCCTAAGAAGCAAACAAACCTGAATAAAGTGATGGCAGAGAGAGAGAGAGCACGTGTGCCATACCGGGTGCGCGTCGTTTGGGTTGAGCGCCCGCTTTGGCGCCGATGGCGGGCACGGGTTGGTCGCCATTGAAGTCGGCCTCGAAGTCAAACTCATTCATGAGATCACTCTTCGTGTCGCTGACGGGTCCGTCACTCGGCTCTGGTTTAGGAGTAATGCCGAGATTATGAACAGATGGTGAGCGCCTCCCGGGGCAGAGCCAACGCAACTCTATGAAGCCTTTGGCCTCCAATTCGCGATACAGTCTTGAGATGTCTGTTCCCGAGGGCTCCCAAACCCTCTTCCCGTCGACCACACGATCATTGCTGTCGTTGTTGTCGTAGTTCTCGTCGTCACTGCAATCGATGCAAAACTGTTGATCATTGGCTGCTGTCATGTCTGCCGTCTGCGTCTTGTCTTCGTTTGTCACTTCATTTGATCCCCGGTTTGAATCAATCACTCATTCATTCAATGAATTCATTGTTTTGTTTGTGTTTTTGAATTTGATTTGGAGTTTAGTTTTTGGACTCAATTCTCGTCCATATATTACGTCGGCTTTGGTTTCAAATAAATTGATTCAAACTTTTCTTAAAGTTTTATTTAATAGTAAATTTAATTTAATTCAATTATTTATTAACATATTATAAATTTTGAATGGATTTATAATTTAATGATTTTATATAAATTTTCGCAATATATTAATTGACAGAATATATAATTATCAAAAATGTTTAAAATACTGAAATGAATGATAATGTTTAGAAAAATAGATAAATATTAGTTAAAAGTTTTCTTAATGTTTAAACTTTAAAGTTTATATTAATCCGATTCTTAGCCGACGTTCGCATCTGTTGTGCAATCTGTGTGTCAATTATTTTGCATTTAAACTTATCATTATTACAGCATTTCTCAGTTAATTGGCGGACAAATTTCTCATCAATTGATTGATTGAATTCAATGATAATAAACTGTTCGCTCGGATCTGATGTCAAGAGATAATATGTTAAACATGCAAATTACAGGTATAGTAATAATGATAGCAAACCTTTTGAATTGATATTAAATGTATTAGTATTAGACACATATTCTTCTGAACATACATTCTTCTGTATGTTGTCCACAATAAAAAGCAGATTACTATTAGCTTTAATGCAAATCATTGGTAGTGAGGGCCCAATACAGGCGTACAAATAATTAATGGTATTATAGTATAATTTAATATTTTTGTCGCCAGTAATTTTAGTTACATTTAATAAATTAATGTAATTATTGGCAAATACTATATACCGAACATTTGCCGTAACTTTGCCAAAGAATACACATTTTGGGATTACATTCCACTCAATCCCAAAGTCTGGTGTTTTCACTGATTTCTCCAAATCTTTGTTAACTAATAATTCTTTGTATAAACTATCGGTTCGTTTGTATTTTGACTCCAAATTCAATGATTTTTCTTCAGAATTCTTTAGTTTTGTCTCCAATTTATTGCATTTCATTTGCCAATCATTTCTCTCTGAACTACATTTCGACTCCAAATTTACGATCTTTTCCTCTGATTCCTTCAATTTTGTCTCCAATTGTCTATTCATTTGTGTCAATAATTTCTTCTCATTTTCCAGACTTTTGTAACTGTCTTTCGATTCAATTAATTCTTTTTTCACGTCCATTGACTGATTATTAGTAGACTGACCACATGTCTTACATTTCCTGAATGCAAATGTTTTTAGATGTTTGGGCAATAATTCCAATGGACACACATTAGGACACCCTTCGGCCTCGAAGTCACATTTGATCAACAATTTGCCGACCATTGCATACACTTTGAGATTCTTGTCCACCAATACATTATCAATGACCACAATATTGTGGTTTTTGTCAGTGCTCTGAGTCCTCTTCCGAGTGGTCAACGATTTGTTACATTTGGGACATGACTTCTTGCCTAGTTTTCTGATCCATTTTTTGATACATTTACAACAATACGTGTGTTTGCAATAAGTTTCCACCGGATTATCATAAATCTGATGACATATACCACACGTCATCTCTTCGGCTAAACTCTTAATAACAGGCAGTTCGGGAAAGCGATCATTACTGAAGCCAACCATTAAATCTATGGACAAATGGACTAATTATTTCGCCAGTCGTAGGGATTAAAGACTAAGAATAAGGTTTAAAGGGGTTAATGACATACATGTAGATAAAATATATTGATAGCACACATACAATGCAGATTAATAGGAGTTATTTGGAGTCACAAACGAGCTGAAGCTATTTGTGAATCAAATGTCCACGATATGCTGCACATTAGAACTTTAACTTCATTATAACGAGAGATAACTATTTAAAATTTTAAAACTTGTAAGTTTATAACTTTAAATAATATAAATGAATTTAAATTAGTTAATACTGTATTAAATATGTTATTAATAAAAACTAGGTCTCGTATAAAAAAGCTGCTAAAATATTTTGTTGAATTCATTGAAAATTGCTTGACTAGTGTTTGTCAAATACCAAGCAATTAAACTGTTTAAATGCTGTGTTTATTAGAATTCATGCCTAAACCTGAGTTTAATTATCAAGCAATTTTCAATAAATACAGCAATAAAAATATTTTTAGCAGCTTTTAATACGAGGTCTAATCATTATTTTTATTGTATTATAATTGAATGGCAAACAAAACAGTTGAAAATTTGGTTTAAATATAAAACAATTCATGAATTTTTATTACAAATAAGCGTTTAATTGAATGAAATATTGAGAGAAAAAAGACAATAAAAATATAAAACTAAATAAAATTTAAGAGAGAGTGAAGACATAGGACTAGATTACGAAGCGTTGGCCGCCTTTTTGCGATACACCGCTAACCAGAAGAGAGCAGTGATTATGTCAGTCAACACTATCGCCACAATCACACAAATCATGACAATTGTGGCGATATTCTGGTTCCGCGAGGCCTTCACCTCCTGATCGGCGCTCCTGTCCTGAGCCCCACCGCCGGCGCCGGTCTTCGCATCGCAGCTGAAGTACTTCCAGACTGTTATCTAAAACACAAGACAAATGCACAACAATTCAAAGCAATGATCACTCGATTGGTCCGTCAGATGAGACAAACCTTATCGACTTCTTTGCCGCTGAGATCGTACTTATAGAGCACAGACGGAGCCGACGCCTCATTCTTGTTGAAGAAGAGACTGTCGCCGGAGAGGAATGCGCC